AAAAAAAAAGAACGTTTCATGTGTGAAAGACACAGAAATAATTCTCACTTATACAGGGATTCTGAAGAATTTCATTTTCTCTAAGAAATATTTATTTAGAGATACACTATATGTGACTTGCATGGTATAGAAGTCCAATTAAATGCAGAAAGTCAGTCCAAATAATTGTTGTATAATATGGCTGAAAAGCACTGCATTAGTTTAAAAAAATTCAAAGTTTGATCTATTTTATAAAACAAACATTTCAGTAAAAATAATTTGGTAAATTTAGTAAAATTAGTAAATTCCATAAAAAAAAAAATAAAAGCAACCAACAAAGAGCATTTTTTTCCGTGAAAAAGAAATGAAAAACAAGTAATCCCAAACAATTCGCTATTCCACACAGCAATGAAAAGAATAAAAAAGCCTACAGGTCAAAATTAATTGATTAGTTAAGATTAAAGCATACAGAGTATAACAAAATACTTAAGTTTTCCTCAGTTATCACTTCACCAAGCATTTTTATAAAAAGATAAAGACTCTGAAAAAAGTTGTTTGGTATAATATGTTGACTTATGCTTTCCCTATGACATAAGGAAGATGAAATAAGAATTCACAATATTTGGTATGTCACAAGAGAGTATTAATCAATCATATGCCATGAAGAATTTAAACGGGAAAAAAAGTTTTATTAGAGATTACTTACGCTTTACAAATGATGGAGTGCTGAACCTCAAACTCCAAGTTAGTAATAACAGGGCAAGTGTATACTCTGGTAACAGAAATATCTGGTGAATTTTCTTCTCCAGGAAAAGGTTCAGTCTTCCAAGTTTTATTTAATTTGTCCATATCCTCTTTCAGCTGGTCTAAGCACTGACTTAAAAATTCATGAGCATCCTAAAAACACAATAATACCCTTAATGAGACCAAAACATTTCTCTTTTTATGCGTTTTTTTTTTTTTTTCCCCTGGCCAGGGTTGAGTTTGAACCTGCCACCTCCGGCATATGGGGCCAGCGCCTTACTCCTTTGAGCCACAGGCACCAACCAAAACATTTCTTGAGACAATAACAGCTTATTTACATTGTGATTTAAACAAACCACTTGGAAGTCAGTGTCATTATATAAACAGGGTCCAGTTTATCTTAATAAGGATTTCAGGATAGGTATTTTATGAATAAAAACAAATTATAGATTTTTTTTTTTTTTTTGAGACAGAGTCTCATTTCATTGCCCTTGGTAGAGTGCTGTGCTGAAGAAATCATGAGAGAATCATAGCTCATAGCAACCTCAAACTCTTGGATTCGAGTGATCCCCTCACCTCAGCCTCCTGAATAGCTGGGACTACAGGCACCTGCCACAAAGCCTGGCTATTTTGATGGGATCTCACTGTTGCTCAGGCTGGCTGTAACTCTTGAGTTCAGGCAAACCACCCACCTGGGCCTCCCAGGATGGTAGGATTAAAAGGCATGAGCCATGGCTCCTGGCCTAGATTTTATATACTTTTTTCTTTTTTTTTTTTGAGACAGAGTCTCACTATTTCACCCTTGGTAGAATGCTGTGGCATCACTGTTCAAGCAACCTCAAACTCTTGGGCTTAAACAATTTTCTTGCCTCAGCTTCCCAAGTAGCTAGGACTCTAGCCACATGCCACAATGCCCTTTTTTGTTGTTGTTGTTGTAGTTGTTACTGTTGTTTAGCAGGCCCAGGCCAACTTTGAACCTGCCAGCCCCAGTGTTCATAGCCGGTGCCCTTAACCACTGAACTATGGGCACTGAGTCTAGATTTTATATTCTTAACTGTCAGTTGCATTAACATAAATGAATGAATCTTCACTTTACTAAAAAAATGCACACATATACACAAAACACTAATTTTTCTAAAACAGCCTTTGAAGCTAATAAATCCAAAGTTTCTTGCATTGAAAAGGCATCTATAAAAAAAAGAAAAAGCATCTGTATTTTAATATGTAAAACAATACACAGAAGAGTCACATTGAACCTTACCATAACGCCTCAGGCTTTTTAACCTATGATGAACACACATACAAAAGTCTCAAAATAAAAATAAAAAAAAAAAACACTTCAATTTTCCTATCTCTAAAATGTTTAAAAACAATTAGTACTCACATTCTGCATATAACCAGAAAATCTCTCTGCTGTAGCTGAAATGGCGTTTTTAACTTTCTTGAGTAAATCTTTTTTGGTCTCTGAATTACAGATATCCTTTTTAATAAGCAAGTGTGCAAAGCGTCTGACAAAACAAAAGAGACAAGTATCTAGTAAAGCATTGTATGGCATAATTTTTTTTTTTTTTTTTTTGAGACAGAGTCTCATTCTGTTGCCCAGTACTGTGGTGTCCAGCTAGCTCACACCAATCTCAAAACTCCTAAGTTTAAGTAACTGAACTTGCTTAAAGCCTCCCTAGTGGCTGGGACTATAGGCATGAACCACCATGCCTGGCTAATTTTTCTAGTTTTATTTTATTTTTTGAGACAGAGTCTCACTTTGTCGCCCTTGGTAGAGTGTGGTGGCATCATAGTTCACAGCAACCTCAGACTCTTAGGTTTAAGTGATTCTCTTGCCTCAGCTTCCTGAGTAGCTGGAATTATAGGCCTCTGCCACCAAGCCTGGCTATTTTTAGAGGTGGGGTCTCGCTCTAGTTTAGGCTTGTCTGGAAGCCATGACTCAGGTGATCTGCCTGCCTTGGCCTCTCAGAGTGCTGGGATTATAGGCATCAGCCACTGAGCCTGGGCCTAATTTTTCTAGTTTTAGTAGAAATGGGGTCTTTTCTAGGGTGATCTCAACCTCCTGAGCTCAAATGATCCTCCCATGTTTGCCTTCCCGAGTGCTAGGATTAGGTGTGAGCCACAGTGCCTGGCATGGTATTTTAAACACTAATTACTAACAATGGCACATAAAATTTTAAGTATGAAAAATCCCTTTATTTTATAATCAGTGAGGTAAAAAGTTATTCAGTAAGTACATAACAAGTACCTGATAAGTGCATTGAGCGGAATTTTCTTCCACGGGATACCTTGCTTAAGCAAGTCATTTGCAAATGACTGGAGTGAAAATAGAGATTGTAAAATAGCATTCATGTAACAGGTATTTCCCAAATTGGAGAAGCTGAAAATGAAAGAAATAGTACTTTAGAAGGCAACAGTAATTCCTGAAGTATGTTCAGTATAGTAGGGGTTCACCAATTTAGCACAAGAATGAGAGTCACCTGGAGGCTTGTTAAACTACAATTGCCCAACCTCAAACAAATCTCTGATTTGGTGCGTTTGGACAGAAAGGATGCAAAAATGTGTACATTTCTAACAAGTTATCAGATGATACTGAAAGAGATTACACTTTGAGAAACACTGCACTACAACACTGTAACAATAGCTTAGGGCAGTTTAACAGAAAATTACACATTTTCAAATGAACACTAAACATGACTGGGGGCTTACTCAAAAGAACCATTCTTTTTTTTGAGTCAGAATCTCACTCTGTTGTCCAGGCTAGAGCGCCATAGTGTCATAGCTCACAGCAACCTCAAATGCTTGGGTTCACATGATCCTATTGCCTCAGCCTCCTGAGTAGCGGGGACTACAGGTGCCTTCCACACCGCTCACCTAGTATTTTCTGTTTTTAGTAGAGTCAAAGTCTCGCTCTCGCTCAGGTTGGTCTCGAACTCCTGAGCTCAAGCAATCCACCTACCTTAGACTCCCAGAATGCTAGGACTACAGGCATGAGCCACTGCACCTGGCCTGAGCTATTTATTCTTAATTTTAAGTTTTCCCCTGAGATATAATCTACTCTTTTCTCTTAAGTATTTGCTCAGATAAAGGAAAACCGTGTCATAGAATGTATGTGTTTGGCTTTAATAGGTACTGTCACTTTTCCTAAGTACATATATATTTTTAAACCTTTTATTTGGAAATATTTATAAGCATTCAGATAATTTGCAAGAATAGTATTCTTTACCCAGATTCACCAACTGTTAATCTTTTGTACCATGCACTTTTATCATTTAATACCCCCATATAAACGTTTTTCCTGAACCATTTGAGAATAAGTTGCATACATTACATACCTTTATTTCTAAATACTTCAAAGTGTTTTTCCTAGGAATTAAGAATATACTCACAGATAACCAGAGTACAGTTATAAGCATCAGCAAATTTAACACTGACATAATATTTTTTTCTACTCTCTTAATCTAATTTTGTCAACTGACCCAATAATGTTCTTTATAGCTTTTTATATTTCTCCCTTCAGTAACAAATTCAGTCCAGGATCACATAATGTTTTCATATTTCTTTAGTTTCCTTTAATCTGGAATAACTCTTCACCTTTCTCTTTTATGACCTGGACATTTTCGAAGAATATAGCCCTTTGCACTTGTTTTTTCCGCCCCCAAAGAGACAATTTTACTCTGTCAAACAGGCTAGAGTGCAGTGGTGTGATCACAGTTCACTGTAGCCTTGAACTCCTGGGCTCATGCAATACTATCTCTGTCACCCAAACACCAGGGACTACAGGCATGCTGTACCACATTGAGCTAATTTTTCTGTTTTGGAAAAATTAGAGACAGGGTTTTACTTTGCCACTCAGGCTGGTTTTGAATTTCTGACCTTAAGTGATCCTCCTGCCTCAGCCTCCTAAAGTGGTGGGATTATAGATACAAACCACCATGCCTAGCTACTACCTATGATTTTTAATGAAATTTTCCTCTTATTGGATTTGCTAAATCTTTATGATGAAATTCAGCCCAGGATGGAAGAATACACAGTGATGCTGTGTCTTTCTAAGGCAGCAGTTCTCAACCTGTGGGTCACGACCCCTTTGTAACAATGAAAATACATTGTGGCATTAGGAAGGTTAAGAACCACTGTTCTAAGGGCATCATATAAATGCATGATATTCCTGTATTGTTCACTGGTGACATTACTTTTGAATATCTAAGAGAATTTCTGCTTTTCACTATGAGGAAGTAACAGGGTCTGGAATAACCCTCTCACTATAAATAATAAGAAAACTGGAGAAAATATAGAAAATACCTATATCCTGGATAAAATATGTATGAAGTGCAAAACTGTGATCCCTAATAGAAGGGAAACCAATGATTTGAGCTCTACCATTACCCAGTTTTTCTGTCTGGGGGAATTTGTGAACTGCAGTCCAGGGAGGCCCTAAACAGAGTCAAGAAATCTTACTGAGTTGAGCTGAATGAAACGAGTTTGGGAGGCTGAGAGTGTTAAGATTTTGGGGGCAGAGTACTTGAGAGGAAGGAGATGTACAAAGGAGGAGTTCCAGAAATCTGTACAGGAGGCTGAATACCAACCTGTGCATGCATAGGGTGAAACACCAGTCAAGAAAAATGTTAAGGTAAAGAATAATTACTGGGGAGTTATTAGCCAAACAATTTCCATAGCTTATGCAGGGCCTAAAACTGTTTGAATTTCTAGTCAGCCAGAATGGAGAGATCTAGATGAATTCACGGAGTATTAACAGTTACCTCAAGGGGGCCATGCTTTAGGAGAGGATGCAAACTGGCCTTAGGGAAAAGAATATTATAGAGTCAACCCCAAAAGAACTTAAACACATCACATGAATGAGAGAGAAGAAAAAAAAGAAAGGAAAAAAAAGGACTCAAACACAAGTCTCAAAACAAACGCAAATGCAAAGATGTTAAAGCAACTATTTAAAATATGCACTGTATGACTAAGAATCAAAGAAAAAATATGAACATAAAAGGGAAAGAAATGGAAGATATATTCATAGATGTAAAACACAATATCTGAAATGAAAAGCTCACTGGATGGTATTCATATCATATTATACTACAGAAGAAAGTATTAATGTAATTGATTTTAAAAAAAAGTATTAGTGAACTTGAAAACACAGCAACAGATCATCAGTGACCTGTGGGACAGTATCAATTGCACTATCTTATATAACTGGAATCCAGAGGGAAGAGGCAGAAACAAACCTCAAAAAGTAATGGGTAAAAATGTTCAAAGTCTGATAAAAACTAGAATCCAACAGATTCAAGAAGCTCAATAAATCCCAAGGAGGATAAACACAAATCAAAATGAATAAATTAAACAATTGCTGAAAAATCTTAGGCCAGGCGCGGTGGCTCACACCTGTAATCCTAGCACTCTGCAGGCCAAGGCAAGTGGACGGTTTGAGCTCACGGGTTCTAGACCAGCCTGAGCCCAGAGCGAGATCCCCATCTCTACTAAAAATACAAAAAACTGAGGCAAGAGGATCATTTGAGCCCAAGAGTTAGAGGTTGCTGTGAGCTATGATGTCGCCATGGTACTTCTACCCAGGGCAACAGCTTGAGACTCTGTTTCAAAAGAAAAATCTTAATATAACAAAAAAAATTTTTTGACAGAGTCTCACTCTGTTGCCCCAGCTAGAGTGCCATGCTGTCAGCATAGTTGACAGCAACCTCAAACACCTAGTTTCAAGTGATATTCCTGCCTCAACCTCCTGAGTACCTTGGACTACAGGCACTCACCACAACGCCCAAATAATTTTTCTGTTTTTTGTAGAGATGTAATCTTGCTCCTGCTCAGGCTGGTCTGGAACTCCTGAACTAAAAGGATTCCTCCCACCTTGGCCTCCCAGAGTGCTATGATTATAGGCATGAGCCACTGTTCATGGCCTTATTAACTGCTTTTTTAAGATTTTTTAAATATTGGCCAGATATGGCCATATTTATTTAGACTTTTTATATTGCTATAAACTTTTTCTGAAACCTTTTTGTTTTACCATCTACTATGAGCATTTTAAACAGCATCCTTTGACTCACAACTGTTACTATGAAGTAGTTAATTACATTACATTTTCCTTTCTTTCCCCATTTTCTCTTAGTTGCAATCTTACCACTTTATTAGAAGACATGATGTTTATACACCATTCTTCTATATATATATCCCTACGTCTGTAGCTCTATAACTGAATACACAAAATGTTCACCTCTACTTTTGTCAGTATTTTTTTAGTCACTTCTTGGATGGATGAAGCTCCAAGAAGTAGGAAAAGCAAATACATATAATATTGTGAATTCCTAAACTTCCAAACTTCTTTTCTCTGACCTATATTTTTGACAGATTGGCTTGGCATAAAATTTTCATTCACCCTTTCTTTCATCAGGTTTCCTGAAAATGACATTCATTGTTAATTAGCTTTGTGTAATGATTTTGAAAAATCTTATGTTAGTCTATTTCTTTTTTTTTTTTTTTTGAGACAGAGCCTCAAGCTGTCCCCCTGGGTAGAGTGCAGTGGCATCACAGCTCACAGCAACCTCCAACTCCTGGGCTCAAGCGAGTCTCCTGCCTCCGCCTCCCAAGTAGCTGGGACCACA